GTGTTCACAGCAGCACTATTTACAACAGACAAGACATGGAAGCAACCTAAATGTCCACTGACAGATGAATGGATAAAGAAGATGTGGTACACACACACACACACACACACACACACACACACACACACACACTGGAATACTACTCAGCCATAAAAAAGAATGAAATGATGCCATTTGCAGCAACATGGATGGACCTAGAGATTATCATACTAAGTAGAATAAGTCAGAGAAAGACAAATATGATATCACTTATATGTGGAATCTAAAATATGATACAAATGGACTTGTTTACAAAACAGAAACAGACTCACAGACATAGAAAACAAACTAATGGTTACCAAAGGGGAAAAGGGGCAGGGGGGGTAAAGTAGGAGTTCGGGATTAGCAGATACAAACTACTACATATAAAATAGATAAACAAAGTCCCACTGTATAGTACAGGGAACTGTATTCAATATCTTGTAATAAACTATAATGGAAAAAATATATATATATCTGAATCACTTTGCTGTACACCAGAAACTACCACAACATTGTAAATTAACTATACTTCAATTAAAAAAAAGAAAAAAATCGTATAAATCACCATTTATCCTTTTCCATATGGACTTTTTTGAGGAAGGATAACGGCCCACCCTCTATCACTGCATATTTTATACTCATATACAGTTAGACAAGAAACAACTAATGTACATCACTGCAAAAATTCCTGTGGCTGCCTGGTTTGTATACCCTAGACGAGGGTTTGTAAGCTTGGCACCACTGACATTTTGGACCAGATAGTTCTTTGTTATGAGGGCTGCCCTATGCACTGTAAGAGGTTTAGCAGCATCCCTGGACTCACTAATGTGTTATTTCATTCAGAGTGAAAAAACGACTTTGATAAACCAGTTTTCAAGGCCTCTATTTGTAAAATGGACAAATTTCCTACACACATATCTGATGTCCACAGCCAGCTAGAAGGTATGAAAACAAAAGGCAAAGTTTGGTGCCAAGGCAACACAGCCCCAAGAAGAGGAGAGCAAGGTGTGTGTACCTCATCATTGTTTTAAATTCTTCTACTACTCTGCCTTTTTCTTCTATTTCTTCTTCCTGTTTTGGTCGGGGAGCGGGGGACGCGCAGGGTGGGTGTGGGCTTTTCATTCCAGTTCAACTTAATTTCTCTTGAACACCTACTTTACATGACTCCATGGGGAAGAAGAGGACCATCTCTACCCCAAGACAGCTTGAGACAGACCTATGTGACTAACTAAAGCACAAAGCAGGTGATGATGATTTCATTAGAGCTTTCCCATCTCTGGGCTTGAAGTGCTCTTGCTGTGAACACCCATATCACTTTGTGTCTCTAATGATACTTTTTGATTTATCAAGGGCAGGGCTTTTTCAACCACTCCATTATTATATCAAGAGGAAGGTTCAAGATACATCAAAAGGCACCTTTTGCTCAGTAAATTAACCATCATGCATGAAGTATGATAGGTGCATATGTGCCTGCTGCCTCTCTCTCCCTAGAATATAAGTTATTTGAGGGTAGGGTCTATCGTTTACTTGTCTGTGTAAACTCAACAGTTCTTAGTACGGTGCCCAGCATACAGTATGTGCCACACTGAGGCCTGTGAGTCCAGGAAAGCAGTGCCAGAACAGAGACAGACTGTGTGCTGTAGTCACCAAGCTTCTAAGGGAGTGATCAGTGCTGCTAAACAGAGCAGACGGGAAAGAATCATTGCAGTTGGTATGCAGCAGAGTGAAAGCCAAATTCTCAGGGTCTAATGAACCAGCAACGAACCAGTTAAGTGGAGACACCCTTTTAAGAAGTTTGGAGACGGAAGGAAGGAGGGACAGGGTAAGAGCTTGACTGATGGCAGGATAAAGGCTTTTTTGTTTCTAAAAGGGAAGGAAGTCTTGAATAAGATTGCAGGCTTGGAAGAAGAAATCTGTAGAGACGATGCAAGATGGAAAGAGAAGATGGCTCTGGAACAGGGAGGCAGGTAAGGAATCAGGTCACAAGTGAAGAGCCTAACCTTGGAAACGAGGGTGGGGACACCTATCACTTTGAAGTAGAAGGGATGATGGAGAGAACAGGTAAGGAGAGAGCTGTTAAGGCAGAAACAAGGGAGACTGAGGTTGTATTATGTGGCCTAAATTTTCTTGATAAAGCAGGAGGCAGGAACATCTGCTCACAGTTCTGGTGGGGCAAGGGTCTAGGGCTTAAGCAGACCCAATAGAGAAGCTATTGAGGTAAAAACGAGAGTAAGAGACATGAAAGAACTACTAAGTTGGAGAGGACAGCTGTAAATCTGTAGAGGAATCAGCCTGACATTACAACTTTGTATGTCAAACTTTGTGGGTCAGAAGCAAGGACACAGAGAACAAGTGGCGGTGTGTTTGTCTCCTAGGGCTGCTGTAACAAAGTACCAAAAACTGAATGGCTTAAGAAAGCAGAACTGGAGGCTGGAAGTTCAAAATCAAGCTGTCAGCAGGGTCACACTCTCTTTGGTGGCTCCAGGAGACAATCCTTCCTTGCCTCTTCTGGCTTCTGGTGTTGGCTTGCAATCCTTGGCTTGTGGATGCACCACTCCATTCAGGTAGCCATCTTCTCCCCGTGTGTCTTCACCTTGTCTTCCTTCTGTATCTATCTTTTGTCCAAATTTCTTTTTATAATTTGATTTTAATTGGATTATCTTTGTAAAGACCTTATTTCCAGCTAAGGTCAGGTTCTAAGGCATTGGGGTCAGGGCTTCAACATGTTTTTTCCTTGGTGGTGGTGGGTGGACACCATTCAACCCATAACAGGTGGCTCCAAGGATACAGGTCCGTGGACGGCAAGTGGGGCTGGGTAAAGGGAATGAGAAGAAATTAGAGATGCATCAGTGGGATGGCCAACCACGGGGCCCAGACTGGAAGGAAGGCAAGCAGGGTCTGAATTCTGGAGATCGAGGGTTTGAGTGACAGGGTTAAGGCTAAGGGTTTGCAGGCAGAAAGTACAGGGAAGAGCTGGTTCAGTGGGAGTCACATGATGAGAGAAAGGGAAGACTGGGAGAATGCGGCTTCAGGCTGTAAGATCTTGGATTAGTGATACGAGACTGGAGGTCTGGCTGTGACTGTGGTAGGTCAGCTAGAGGGAAGGTCATCTGTTACAGTTCAGGTCATCCCCAGAGGCCAGGGTACTGACAGCAGTTTCTCCATCCACGTGGAAGAAATACAGACAGCGATATTGGTGAAAAAGAGCAAGGACAACTGTGGTCAGCTCTCATCACCTAGGAGGGTGGTAGGGTATCCTATAGCTCAGGGGAGGAGAGGCTGGGGAAAGGGGAGTAGATGGTGGGGAAAGACTCTCAAAGGGGAGAGTTCCTGAGAGAGATGCGGGCACACGGGTGGAAGAAGTCTGGGAGTGGAGAGCTTGGAAACTCCTGCTGGGCAGCAGCACGGTGAAGTGGTCCCTTGAAGCCTGGAAGTAAAGTGCCACAGGCACAGACAAGGAGGAAAATGCAGGCAAAACTTTGAGCTGAAATAGCAACCAGATGCTTCATGTGTGATGGCTGTTAATTTACTGAGCAAAAGGCGTCTTCTGATGTATCTTGAACCTGCCTCTTGATATATTAAGGGCTGAAAAAGTCCTGCCCTTGATAGACCAAAATGTCAGAACCAACTTTTGGTCATGACCCTCTTCCTAAGTAAGACTCAGGCCCTGTGTTGGATACTGACTGCAGGTATGCACGGAGGGAACACGCAGGGTGAGAAGCAGTGGGAGCCTGACCCCACAGAAGTGACTTAGTTTCAGTTTCCTCATTCAAAAGTAGGGTAATAGTAGCTCACTCATAGGGTTGCTGGAGCTCAGCGAGTCCTGAACACACGTTAGTGGTTGTGGTGATTATTATTATTATTAAAAATGCCACAGTCTACTGGAGAAGGAGGGTTGAAAATATGTTGCTCAGAATCATAGTGACTACAGTGACGATGAAACTCCCTACTTCTCCCTCCCTTCCCCCAAAGATGAAGAATACACCAAAATGATCCTAGAACATTTATTTCCACAGGTTCTTGATACAAAAGCACAATCCTGCATAAAAGTACACCACTACACATCAGGGCAAAATTACACAGCAAGCAAGAGGGGCCACTGACCCCTTCCACAGAGAAACCCCAGAGAGAAATTTTCCACTTCCTGACAGTTTTACAATCATTCATGTCTTCTACGCACTGCAAGCCCCATCCCATCTCTCATTTTCTCCAACTTCTAACTGAAACTTGTGTCCACAGATTGTATGTGTGTGCATGTGTGTACACAGAAGGCTCACTTTACCTACTTGATGAGGGGCTGAGACAATGCTTTGTAAGAAAGTTACTGCAACATGATGGGGAGTCAAGCCACGGAAGCTTCAGAGCTAGGGCTAGCTCTCTCCTCAAAAGCCCTGACATGATAAAAATGCCACCGGGGGTCCCTGAACTTTGAGAGCCAGTAGGTCTTGTGTTTGCTCCTGTACTGAACTTCTCCCAGTTCAGGTCTGGGAGGGAAAGTGGGGATGTGCGCGCATCCCATACCCAGCTCAGGCTGAGGGCTTGCATGCGAGAGGAGACTAGGGGACAAGGTCTCAGGACCTGCAGGTGGCCTCGGCTGGGGACACAGAGACCATTCAAAAGCTTGTGCTTGAGACCAGATTCTTCAGTCACGGCTTCTCCCACCACCATCGCTAGGTATCAGGGATTTTCAGTCTTCAAAATTGATCCCTGTCCCCCAAGAACTCCACTATAAGCCTCGAGAGCCCTTATTTAAGGTATTTAGCTAGTGGCTTCAGTCTGACCATTTGCCATTTTCATGGTTCCACAGTCTTCTTGGCATCCGGGTGGGTGGTCACATGGCTTGACATGTGAACAGCGTGGCTTCTGTACCTTAGGGGGTACAGGAGAAGGTGGATGCAGGACACTGAGGCTGCCCTCATGGTCACCGTGGATCCTGAGATGGGCTCTTGTGAAGTTCCTGTGGCCCCTGAGGGGCCTAATTAGGCAGATGCCTCTGCTGCTCTTCGAGCCTCCTGCCCCTGCTTGGCCCTCTCCCTCTGCTCCTTTTCCCTCTGAATCAAATGTACCCAATCCAGATGCCACTGCTGCAGCTTCTGCTCGTAGGCAGCGATGTCTTCTGCTTCACAGGTAGGGAGCTGTTCCTTGACAAGCTGGGTGGTCAGGGTCAGAAGGCTTTCTGACTCAACTTTGCCCAGAGCATGTAGCTTAGAATGTAAGGCCTATTGGAAACAAAGAAGAAAAAAGAAAAAAAGAAAAAAAAAAAGAAGATGTGGGAGGGGCGGGTAGGTAAAGAATACAAAGAGGAAAAGAGAAGAGGTTAAGTCACTTACAAAATCTCCACACATTCTGCTCACAGGAGAAGGTACTTTATTGGGAGCCTGTCATGCTGCCTTTCATCCAGGCACTGTTAGCTTTTGCTCTTTTTTTTAAATTTCAGCCCAACAATTCTGCTAAGATGCACCACATGTCATTTCTTCCCCTTCACTCACAAACGGTAAATGGAACTCCATATGCTGTGACTCCCTGTGTAATTTCTTGTTTTAGACCACAAACACTGCACAAGAAAAGAAACCTTCATTTCCATTCTGACCTGCACCAAACCAAGCAGCAAACTCCAAGAACAAAGAACCCTAAGATGGAAACAAAATGGCAGAAGCAGCTGATAAAATGGAGCAAGTTCATCCATAGCTTTTCCTTTAGAATTACTGGGATAAATGTTTGCCTAACCAGTATTCCTTTCAACAGATGGAATTCATGTCAACGCTTTCTTACTAACGGCATGCTAAACAGCTCCCATGAGTGCCTGCGCTATTATAAGCCTCCACGTGCTGTGCTTCACTGCAGGTCAGCCTTGACATCCTGACTACTTATGGCTCCACCTGAAACGGCAGCTCGATTTGGTCGGTATTGTATTTCTGGAGAAGTAAAGTGCTAAAAACACTAATCTACTTAAGTGCTTCAAGATGTAGATCATCAGAGACCCACTTACAGCCCCAGACTTAGCATATATGACACACCCCATGTTCCACAAAACAAATGCAATTTACTGGCATAGGTGATGAGGCCTGCTCTAACAGCAGGGGCTGGAAGGTGGGAAGGATCCATGGGCTTCAAGGAGTGGCCAGACGTCTGGTGTGACAGGTCAGCCACAAAAATGAGCCTCAAAAAGATTACCTGGGACTAATAAAAATCAGGCACCAGGAAGAAAAGGAAGCGTAAAATGAGAATTCTTTCTTTCTGATATCACTTCCCACCTGGTTTGAGGCCAAGGAGACAGCTTGGGACACCAGAATAAGGACTCAACTCTGAGTCAGCAAGCTTGTGTTCAAATCCAAAGTCAGTCACTTATGGACTAGGTTCCCTCAACCTTGGAGTCATGTAACACAGGAAGAGCAGTATCCAACACCCAGGTGAGGATAAAGGAAACACAGTAGTACCTAACACACAACTAGCAGTCAAGAAATATTGGTCTTTTTTTGTGTGAATTAAAAAAAAATGCATTGTGGAAGAGTGAGGGCTGAGAATTTAATGCTGGTACAGATTTCTATTCTCCGAGATTAAATATATAAGCAATAAGAAAAAGGTGGTAACTTTTAAGAGTCGTGGGGCAGCCTTGGTCAATATGAACATGGTAAATGATAATCTATGGGGCTAAGCAGATTTTTTGCTTTTTAGCTTTTCTAAATCTGCAAAGTTAAGAGGAAAGAAGAGGTATGTAAATTCTTAACCTAGCTGCTAATTCTCCGTGTACCCTGAAAACATCGATTAACCTTCCTTTTTCAGTTTCTAAATTATAAAAAAAGGGAAGTTGAGCAATTACCTTATAGAAGTACTGGGAAAAACAGCTACTAAAGGTATTAGGATCCTCCTTAGAACAAGGGGAAATAGATTTCCCACAGCTGGTTCAATATAATTACTGCAAAGATTTCAATGTAATACTCTGACAAAGTATACCTCCCTCTGCACCAAAAGGACACAATGGATCAGCTGGGCCCCCCCCCCCGCCCCACTTTGTGCTAAATAGATGAGAAACACAGCAAGGAAGAGGCCAAGGGCTTAAAATCTGAACATGGCTCTTCCTCCCTGACTCTGATCACAGAGCATTTTGGGACGTAGACTTGAAAGCTACCAAAGGCAGTTTGAGTGCTCAGGGCTGTCCTGAAAGCTGTAGAAACCTGTTTACACCATCCGTGTAGTCCAGAGAGCATTTCCAATGGCCCTAGTGCACACCACAAAGCCGAGCAAGAGAAGACGCCTGCATTTCATCTTCATCATATTCAAACGAGGCTTTGCGATTTCTACCTGGGTTTCCGGTGATCAAGAAGGTTCAGTGTAATATGGAGAAATGACCAGATCCTCTTCACCCAGGGCTGAAGTCAGGTGCTTGCTATGAGAAGGCAAACTATTACCCACCCAGCAGGCAGACGTCCCGGATGAGTAGAGGATAATGACATGCTGCCTTAGGAAAACTGTGACCGATTCGCTCAAGTATGAAAAGGAGCATAAAAATTCCATTTGTTTCTTTTAAGGCCACTTCCTGTGTGAAGCAAAAACAATGTGATTTTTTTTTTTCCTGTATGCGGGCCTCTCATTGTTGTGGCCTCTCCCGTTGCGGAGCACAGGCTCCGGACATGCAGGCTCAGCGGCCATGGCTCACGGGCCCAGCCGCTCCGCAGCATGTGGGATCTTCCCGGACCGGGGCTCGAACCCGTGTTCCCTGCATTGGCAGGCAGACTCTCAACCACTGCGCCACCAGGGAAGCCCAACAATGTGATTTTTGATGTCAGTTTTTAATGCCCTTGTGTGTGACATTGATGCATGAAAGGACTGCTGGTCTATCACCACGGCAGAGAAGCATGCTTAATGCACAGCTGAGAGGGACTCAATTCTGCTACAACTCACCTCAAATCGTTCCAGGTAACGGGGAAGCTTGGACTGTTCAGTTTCCTCCACATCCAGCTGCTCCACCAGTTCTTCTGACCTCTGGGTCTTCTCACCTTCTTGGGGCTGGTCCTCTGAAGACCCCTGGGCCGGAGCGCTCAGAGCCGCCTTCAGCGCTCTGTCCAGCACATCGAGCTGCAGAGCAGACAGGGGGGCAGAGATTAAACATCCTGTGGCCCTGAAAGCACTGGGAAGGGAGGTTGGAGAAGGGAAAGGAAGGGAAACCTGGGATCTAAAATATTGCGAGAAGAGTTCTCTTATCAAATTATAGGGAACAGAAATGGTTATATAATTTTACACTAGAAACACCCTGTCCCATGGCATGAACACTTAGTACAAAACAAATGGAACAATAAGCAAGCTCAGAATTATCTGTATAAGTGAATCAACACAGCAGCTTTTGATTTCACTTTTAATTACCCAGGTAAGAATCCAAGAATTACGCTTGATGGGTACTGAAGTACCACCCCTTCCATGTTTTTCTTCCTTAATTGCTTTGGAATTGGGAGAAAGGGAAAGAAAAACCACTACAGACCACAACCAAAATGGGCCACTTTGAATGCACGGTACAGCCTCTGACTCTAGGCAGGGGCCTTCTTCAGAGAAAAATTTTAGCTCATAGGGTATCCAGAGATTAGGGATCAGTCAATCTATATAAGCTGCTGACAAAGACCAGATAGGCATACATGAAATTTATTGTAACAGGTGATTTCTATGGCTTAGAAAGTAAATGAACTATAAAACGGAAGGTTTCTTTTTGTTTTGACCCCTCTCCCCTACCACTTTCATTTTGGGGCAACCTCCCTCAACCCTCAGAGGGCCTAATCATCAGAGATGGGACAGAAACAACCTCGAGGCCAGCATTAGCACCTGCATGGATACCGATTAATTTTGTCCATGTCACTTCAGAACAAAAATCCAGAAAATACTCCAAGGCTTTTTAATGCCACTAATACATTATACCCAAATGTATATGTGGGATATATATACACATACACATACATATATGTGACACATATCTCACTCTTGCTGACATCTGAATCACATTCCTATGAAGTCAGAACACAAACAATGCAAATCTGCCTCCAACTGGAAGGAGTATTTCCCTGGCAAAGCATTTATGTATAATTTTGTGTTTTCAATCACCAGCACTGACTACAGCTGGGTTAAAACATGAAAATGTATTTAGAAATGTGTATACTTGGTAAATGTCTGGCAGAGAACATAAGGCCTCACTAGACACCAGTATAAGGAGCCAGTATAGGGACCAGACTTGTGCAACCTGTGACTGAGCGGAAGCCATGAGGTGAGTCCTAGTGATCAGCATCAAGGCAAAACAAATAAGCAGCTGCTCAAAGTTAACTTTTACACCCTGTTAATGAAACAACTGATGTCCTTCTGTGCCTCACTCTGGCTACAACAGCTGCTTGGGCAGCAACGAACACTGCTGGCTCCCTATCGGGTGTAAGCTCGTCGCGTGCTTTCCTGTAGCCTGAGCTCACTCTAGTAACTTCGTAGTGTCAAGAGCCCAAGATGACCAAGAGGGATGAGCTTTGAGGCTGGTGGGAGGACATTGTCCTAGTCCAGGCAAAGTGAACACCTTAGAACTATGAAAGGAACATTTGGTCCAGATCTCCTCAGCGTCATGCATTCACCACAGAATAGTTTAATGTAAGGAAAGAAAGAGTGCCATCTCTAGTCCCTAGACTCATTTCTTGAGAGCTTGTATGATGGAAAAAACTGACAGGTAGTTAGGCTCCAGGGACTAAATGAGGAGACAGAAATGCCAAAAATTAAAAATGAAATCTTAACCTCTCAAGCTCCTACTGAGATTTTACTTTAGGGGTCGGGCGGAATTAAACAGTATTTTACAGAATTCAGTTTGAATTTTAGGGAAGGGGAATGGTCTTCCTCCCAGATAGTGAACTATAAAATCAACATCAATCTTATTTTCTAGTGCTTTTTGTCAGTAACATTGAGAATGTTTGTGGTTTTTCACTCCTTTTCACCTGAATAAGTACATGATTCTATAGAGATAAAGAAAGTGGGGCATGGGGGAGACAAGGAAAACAAATCCAAAGCTTGACTTATGAGTAACAGGAGATGATAAATCCCATTGAATTAGAGACAGGGAACTTACTGCTTCTCTACACAGCTTTCCGTCTTCTGGGGAGGAGGCCACCTTCTCCATTACTTGAAGGGCTCTGTTGAGGTACCCTGGCTGCCACAGCAGGGGCATGTTATGGTACACAGCCCGCAGCCCTTGCTGCAATTCCACCTTCCCTGTGGCCAAAAAGAACAATGAAGAAGGCTCAGCCATGGCTTCCCACTATGTCTGAGACAGAGGACTTGAAGGCACAAGCGAATACTTACCTGGCAGCTCTAGAAATAAAGAAGGATCGTTTCAAACCTATACCAAGAGCCTCATCCCACCCAGTGAATGGGGACACTTTGGATGTATGATGAAAAATGTAAAATTCTATGTATACACCTTTCAGTATAAAGTCACGTGAACTTATTTTTCTTCTTTTTCATTTGGACTACTGGAGATTATCATGAGGATATATGAATCAAAGGGTTGAGGGAAATTTACAGAGGTTGCTATTTATTTTTTATTTATTTATTTTAATTTGGCTGTGCCGGGTCTTAGTTGTGGCACGCGGGATCTTTAGTTGCAGCATGCGGGATCTTATAGTTGCAGGATGCAGATTTCTTAGTTGCGGCATGCATGCGGGATCTAGTTCCCTGACCAGGGATCGAACCCAGGCCCCTTGCATTGAGAGTGCGGACTCTTACCCACTGGACCACCAGGGAAGTCCCTACAGAGGTTGTTATATCTGCCTCTAAGTGGAACTACGCTGACAAAACAAGTCAAACAACTGAAATACTAGTTTTGTTTCAAGAACAAAATCTTCCTCTGAAAAAGAAATTCCACAACTTTTTTACAGTGGAAATCTTGTCAACGTCTGACAACTTCCCCTGCCAGGAAATGTCTGACATTTTTCAAAATGCTCCAAAACACCCCATTGACTGTCTTTATGAAAAAAAAAAAAAAAAAAATCTCACTTTGCTCTCCTTTCCTTTATTTGAGGTTCTTCAGTACTTAAATCATATAGTCCTCATTCATCCTTTTGGGTCTCAGGACATGAATGTTTCTCTTGGTACCTCAAACAATCACAACTGGAGCTTAAAACATGGCTGGCAGCAAGGTCCCCGAGTGAGGACAGGAGTCTCTGGACTCCTGGGGAACAGAAACTTCTGCACTAATGACCAAAGTCACCTTGAGCTGCCAGGTCTTAAATCTACCTTCACTTATCTTTCCCGGGAAGGAGGATTTGGGAAAGCTGTAGTGGAACATAAACAGACAAAGCTCATCAGGTGACAGCTAATTTTAGACCTGTAAGATGCTTGGGGCTGGCTGCAGTCACGTTCTGGGAAGCTGCTTCTGTCAGAGGTGAATGAGGCTGTGCAGCACATGACACAGCGAGAGCAAAGGGCTTTGGATCTGATGCTCCCAGACCCAAAACACATGGGCCTCTGCTCAGCAACAGTAACAACAAAGTACATTTTCTTAGCCTTGACAACTTCCCAGCCAATTCATGCAGTGTAACAGTCCTGAGTGCTCATCTGAAGGCAAAAGCCAAAAACGTGTAAATCAATATAAAAAGTAGATGGTAAGTAAAGAGAGAATGATTTTTAAAAAGAGTGGTCAACTCTTTTGTTAGTCTGATCGCCAGCCTGATGAACTCCTCTCTCTGAGTCAGTTTCTATCAGAATCAGCATCTGAGAATGCCACATTACATTTTATTGGTGAACATCAACTCCAAAAGCAGTCAAACTGCTATAACTTAGATGATTTTCAGAAAACAAAGGTAAGCAGACACAATGATCAGAAGGGACTTTCTCAAATGCCTACCTACTTAGGAGAGAGACTGGAAGGATAATGAAATAACATGCATTTAATAAACCTGTGTAAATCGGGACACATTTTATGCACATTTAGGGTGAATGTTATTTGCCCAGATTCCACACAACCCAAGTGCTGAGGCTGCTCCTCAGAAGGCTTTGCCCTCCTGACTGTCTGATTCTCATGCAATCCGGGGTCTAAAGCAGAGCTAGCTGTCCCGTGTGTGGCACAGTCACACTGCACCAGTGAGCCCCTCTCTGCTTTCCCAAGTGCTGCTGGATGTGCTCTCTGAATTTCTCTTCCCTCACACCTGAAAACAATACCAAGGATATGTGTTCAACTCCAACTCTTAATTTCTTTCCTCCTGGACTTTAGGTTTAAGAGACAGAAAGATCTTTGTTAATAATGGGAAAGATCCTACTGGCCGGTTCTCCCAAAAGAGGGCCAGGACTTTCCTTTCTTTATCCCTTCCTCACACTGATCACCACTAAATATAATCGAGAGCCATCAGAACTAATTCTCACCTTGCCAGTGGTGGGAGGTTTTAGAACCCGCTTTATTGTCTTAGGTCATAACTGTAAGGCCATCAAAGTCTAGTTTTACGTCTAAAAATGAAAGCTGTATTGGAATTTCACTCTCAAATTTAAATCAAATTATAATTTTATTATGAAGTAAAAGAATGCATCAGTTCTATCCATGAAGAACAATGTTTGTGAGGACCTCCAGCTTACCAAGAAGCGCATAGCCGTACAACTGGGAACTCAACCCCACCGAATTCTTTTGCTTTAGGCCTGGGAGTAACAGGGATGCACCAAAGTTCCTCTCCTCTTCCCACTGCAACAGAATATACCAGATCATGGTGCAGCCAAGCAATGCATAAATGCATTTTGTATGCAAAAATGTGATTTTTAATGACACAGAGGAAAAAAGAACATGTTATAACATTAAGTAAAAGAAGCAAAATAACAAAACTAAAGGTACATTATAATTCTAATTTTGGAAAGAAAAGATATTTATGTTTAATGAAAAATACAGAATAGAAATGCCCAATATGTTAACAGATTTCTGGGCAGTGAAATTACAAGCAATTTTGGTTTTCTTCTTTGTACTTTTCAGTACTTTCCGAATTTGGGGCAGTGAGTAAGACTTCCTTTTACGATCAGAAAAGCAAAACAAAATAAAAATAAAGTGTACACTCTGGACCAGCATTGCCTCGAGACAATCAACAAAGATTACCCATGCTGTTAGCCCAGTACTCACACTGCTATGAAATGACAGAGCAAGCTTTTTGAATTTTAAACAATTCAGCAATAAGACTCCTTCTACTTCACAGTGTTCAAATAAATATAAATATTAGGCTGCCTTTAGATAGATTTATGCCTCTAAAAAATCAATTAGGCAATCAGAAACACTTGACAATCATTTCTTCCAACCCAGGGTGCAAAATTACACTTCAATAAAATTGAAGCCTTACGAGACATGGGAAAGAAGGGGCAAAATACAAGCATTGCTAAGGCTGCTGCAGACTAGCAACAGCAGGGACGGGGGGACTCACTGTAAAGGCAGGCCTAAAGAGAGCCTTGGCAACTCCCCAGACAAGGGCTGTGATCTTCTCGGTGCTGGTGCAGTAGGAGCACACAGCGGCCTGAGCCTTTGTTCCAGCTTGGAAATACAGAATGCAAAGCTCAGGTGGCCCTGCACTGGTCAGAGAATGAACAAAGTGTGCAAGCTACAATTGCAGCCAGGTATATAAGTGGGGTACCCCAGGTGTTAAGGGGCACCCAAATCTCTTTATTGGGAATGACCTTTGTGCAATGCAAGTGCAATTTCTTAAGGTTTTTCTAAACCTTTGAAACAAACAAAGACCTTGGGAGAAAAGCAAAGCCTCCTCAGGGGCTTCTGCCGCACACATAAGCAAGAGAGTTGGTAATGAAGGACCAGGTCATTTCACTTGCGAAAGCAAATCACTCAGAGGTTTGATTTTCCCCCACAAAAACTGCATGAAAAGGGGCCCAGGGAAAAATAAATAAGGAGCCTTAGAAGCATTTTTTCTTTTCTTTAGGGAAAAACATGACCTATAGTATCAGGATGCAACAGAGGCTAAAAGCCAAATGAGCAGCATCCTTGCTGTGCTAGAACTGAGCAGGGGTGGTGATGGTGGCTGCAGTGGTGATTCTTCCAAAAGCACTTTTACAATGATAAATCAAAGCAAATGGATGTGTTAGAGATATTTTGGATGATTGGGAAAAATACAACCACTGCTGCTTAGATGAAAGGCTAGTTACGTGTTAACATAAAATATCAGGTCTCTTCCAAGCCTTTAACTTCTACTCTATGTACTATTATGGACTAAATCAGGAGCTATTTTACCAATGTCCTCAAGGTTTTCTCATTTCATGCTTCAACTTTTCCCATTAATACAAAGCAAACCCTCCTTCTCTCCTTCCTCCCTCCACTCCCCTTCACAGCCAGACATCTCAAAACACCGCTGATGCTCACTGTCTCCTTTCTGCACCTCGGACTCACTCCACAATCCACTCCAATTTGGTTTCCTGCTCCATTACTCTATGGCCCTCACACCACTAAGTTCAACGCATTTCATAAAAGTCCTCGTCTCACCTACCCTCTGAGGAGCGTTCTACATGCAGACCACCTCCTCCCACGGTGTTTTTTCCAACACATTCCTGACTCTCCTTTTGGCCTGTGGCTCGTCTGCAGACACTTACACGTGGATTTATAAAATATATCTCCAGTCCAGATTTTTCCATTAAGATGCCAATTTCCCTTGTGAAATCTCTTGACTGTCTCAAAGGTATCTCAAAATGCAACACATTCAGAGCCAAATTAATGATCTTCCTCATCAAAAGAAGTCTTTGCAAACCCATGGTGACCCTTTGGTCCGATACCCCCAGGCAGAAACTGAGGAGGTCAGACTTCACCCCCACCTCCCTGCCTCCACATCTACTTCCTTCCTCATCATGCTCTTTGCCTCCTAGATACGGTCATCGGCTACTTTGTAACTCCACCATGTTCTGGTCCCCACACTATCATTACTCTTACTCAGATGACCATGATAGTCTCCTACGTGCTCTGACCATAACCACCCTGGCCCTGATCCAACCTCCTACCCATGTTACAGCCCAGATACACAAATCTGATCATGCCACCCCTTCTGCTTAAAACTTTTCAGTGACTTCCACTATTTTTAGAATGTAGATGAAACAGCTTAGCATGACCTACCTTCTGCAACCTCATCTCACTCTACAATTCTCTCTGTGGCAGCTACACTATCTTCCTACCTTCTTCCAGCCCCTTTCTGCTCAGCATGTTCTTTCTGCCACAGGACTTTTGCACATGTCATTTCCTCGTTTTGGATTGTTCTTCCTCTCTTCAGTCTGTTAATTCCTATTCATGCTTCAAATATTAACTCAAGAAATATTTCCTTAAGGAAAAAGGCTTTCCTAACAAGTTTAAAATACAAACAAAAACTCACTACCATACAGGCTTTTCATAGAAGACATCTTTGTAGTGATCATTATAGTCATAATTTTATATTTGTGTGTTTGTTTTGTTTTAAAAGCCTATATTCATCTTAGATTGTAAGAAGGAAATTTTTGCTCACCACTGTATAAGGAGCACTTGAAATGTATGGAATGTAGTAGTTGCTCAATATATATTTAATGAACTAATGAACGTGAGGTGTGCCATAGGCTATGACATTCATCTTACAAAAACAAAACACACGATAAATTTTTTTAGAAGGGGGGCTAGACTAAATGATCTTTTCAGTTCCTACCCAAAGTAGTATTTTTTGGTGTTACATTTGAGGTTAAGCGAAGACTGCAGGGCCAGGCTGCTTGGCTTCACCAGGTGGCTTCATCACCTACTAGCTGGGTGGCTATTATGTAACATCTCTGTGCCCAGTCTTCTCATCTGCATGGAGTTGTGAGGATTAAATGAATTAATAAATCTAAAACACGAAGAACACAGCCTGGTGTAAAGTAAGTGCCATTTAGGTATTAGCTATTGTTGTTGTTAATGTTGTTATTCTTAGGATAGCAATAAACAATGACTAAATACCCTAACCTAAGAGATGAAACCAAAACTTAGTCTTCTGGACTGACCCAGAGCAACCTTAGGAAAACACTGACATAAATTACACAATGAGTATTTAATACCTGAGGTCATAGTCGAAGCTGGCTGCTTCACTGCTTCGCTGGTATGCCATGTCCAGCTCTCACTGATCATCGATTACCTACTTCTGTACATGTGAGGTGCACTTAGCCTAGCTCAAGTCTCAGAATGTACATAAGGACTTTCCCTTGAGATTCTTCCGAGTGGAAGAATGTCCAATTCCACTTTGTTAGAACCCAGTACCTAAAATGTACAGGATGAACACTCATTCCTGGTTGTACGGGGCCACAGGGCTGTACATCAGGCATCTTTTTCCAGATGCTGAGGGCAGAGGTTTCCTCTGGTGCCCACATCACTACTGAGCAGCCACTGCTTGCTTCTTCTAAGGCTCCCACTGCTGCTTTAAGGTAGATCACTTACACTGAAGTCTGTCTTCTTTGCCAGGCAGTAGTATAAAATGTAGAGGGAGAGGAGTTGGGTGGAGGGAACCTCAAAAGCTTCTTGCATCATGATCTCAAATACCACAGATAAAGCATCTGGAAAGAAGATCAAAGTAAAAATGAGAGGTAATTAGTTTTAGGTAACATCATCAAACCTGTATTTAACTATAAACACTCTTAAAAAGTGGGGCATGATAGAAAAATAAACAGAATTAAGAAGTTAAGAAATGTGGGCTCTGGTCTTAGTTCTTCCATAAACTAGGTCTTTCCTAAGTCTTCAGCTTCTATTGTACACACTACTGTGTACTGAATCAGGTGCTATTGTATCACTGTCCTCAAGGATGTCAAATAAACCACTCAATTTCTCAGTATCATCTTCATGATGTTAAAATACCATTTGTCCCACATACATCACAAGACTGTTGACAGTCCAACAAAATAATACATATGAAAATGCCTCATAAACTGTGAAGCAAATTTAAGGCATCATGTCCATCAGCTGGAAGATCTAAGGCATACAGAAAGGAGGCAAATATATTTTCCAGGTCACCCTGACAAGTAGAGAGGGGGCTCGGCTGACTGCCCCACTGTATGTTCTGGAATTTTCTCCCTCTTTGGGCAAAAGAGAACAAATGCTAGAGACAATTCTAAATCTCAGGTGTTATTTCAAAGACAGAAAACTGATGACTACAAAAAGGACAATCAGGCTCAATTTAAAAGAATTGAAAGAATGGAAAAGAAATGCTTATTCGTAAGTTATAATTCCGTGACTGTAACATAGAAGATATTTGTTTTCACATGAATGCTGATCATAGGAGACCAGAGCTTGAGCAAGGTCTAATTTATTTTCCCTCAATATTTCACAACATAGGCAGAAGGCAAGAAAATCAAGAAAAAAATCAAGAAAATCAAATTCAAACAATTTCTTTCCCTTAGTATTTGTTGTTAAATCAGAGAATGTTAATATTGGTTTAAAATACGGTGCCTAACACAGGCACAACAAATGTTTTTGAATAACTGACTGAGCTGCTCTGTTAACCGATTTTTGCATATAGGGTTGCATAAGAGTTAGCACTGATTTGCAGCTGTTGCTAGCCAGCAGGTTTTGTGTGTGTTGCCATGGTTCTACATGAGGCCACAGGCAAGAATTTCTATATATTTTTTGCAAACAGGGAAACTGAGATAGGCAGACCAGGGAGGAGTCACCCAGTCAGTCAGCAGCAAAATAAGAACCTGGAAGAGATTAAACAAACAACACTCCCATCTCACCAACAAACGGTATTTTAAAAGAACACAAAGTTACAAATCAGTTTAAAAAAAATCTGTTTTGCCAACTGTTCAATACTGAATCCAGAATTACACATGAAAAATGAATCAAATTTATTTTATCTCTAATTTATATTCATTTCAGTCAGCTTGGGAAGTGAAATTAGGTTGATCTGTATAAGTAATTTCCTTTTCCTCCATAATTATTTATATACTTGGGTATTTCCTATTTTAGCAATAAAAAGTATAACATTTTCTAAATTTTTGCCATAAACAATAATAATCTTCATCAAAACTTTATTTTTAAAAATCCTCAATATTATTTACTCTGAATTTAGAAGGAAAAAAAGAGAAAAAAACCAAACCCAAAACTCCTTTTACCCTTCCAACATTACCTTTAAAGAGAGAGGGGAGAAAACTGCTACGACATAATTTTCCAATGATACAGTAATAAGGATTCTTAAATCTGATGTTCACAGAGAACAGACGATGAAACATGCAAAAGCTAATTATCTTTTAGTTGAATTCAGGAAGTCCATGCTTAAAATGGACAAGGGATAATGAGCATTTCAAAAAATAATGCACAGGGCTTCCCTGGTGGCACAGTGGTTGAGAGTCTGCCTGCCGATGCAGGGGACACGGGTTCGTGCCCCGGTCTGGGAGGATCCCGCGTGCCGCGGAGCAGCTGGGCCTGTGAGCCATGGCCGCTGAGCCTGCGCATCCGGAGCCTGTGCTCCGCAACGGGAGAGGCCACAACAGTGAGAGGCCCGCCTACCGCAAAAAAAAAAATAATAATAATGCACAGCAAATAATTTTAGGCAGTCAACAACTGCAAGCCTTATGAGAGAGAAGATAGAGCAGAGACCTGGAGAAGAGAAAGGAGAGAGGTCCCCGGTCCCCAGGTCCCCAGCCTAATCACTGAGTCCAGGCAGTGACGCAATGGAAAAGGCGAAGGGTGCTGGTGTGCAGGAACAAGAGGATGTAACCCAATGACAGGAATCACAGGTGTCATAAAAGCATAAGTGACCACCAGTCCACATCCACATTCCTGAGGTAGTGACTACCCTAACACGGGCATGGCTCCTCAGAACCAAGCCTGAGGATGAAGTGGTGGAAGGGGAAGCCAATGTGTGTCTTTACACAACGGCATGGCCTCCTCTTTCCTTCTTCACTGTCTGTGTAGCTGCAAGCACAAGCGTGCTGTACTACCCTTCCCTGTCCACTGGAGACTGGCAGGGCTCCACCTGACTGCTCTGCAGGGTCTGCCACATCCCCATCTTTCCTTGGCCTCCCTTACTGTAGCTGAAGGTAAGAGCCACTTTAAATTAATTCCATGGGGTCAGAGGATTTTGGGGGTAAAGAGATCTCAGAGTTCACCAATGCACTTACTTTAGAGAGGGGGAAACAAAAGCCTAGGGAGGTGAAATGACTTTCCTTCATAGAGAGTGTACTACTCTCTCCAGTATATAAGATTTTATACTTACACACTTCACATGCTATAACAACTGTGATTTAAATAAAAGAAAGTTAGCAAATGGTGCTAAAAAACGTCAAGCTAATAGCTGAATTAATATAATCTTAACTAGCCATGGAAGCTCAGGCAAGGTTTATTGCTTAACTAAATTCATTGTCCTTTGCCCAAAGAGACATGAACAAAGAAACTTCAGAAACTCAGAGGAAAAAAGACCTGAATATGATTCTCCTATCTGGCCAACTGGTGTGGTAAATCAACGACGCACCTATTTCTGACTGAAAGAGTCATGTAGAGAGTCATTAAGAAATAAAAAAAGTAAAAGTGCCTACATTTACTTCCCTTTGGAAGCGGAAGATACATTATAAATGGAACTGGGTTTGGTTTCTTACCTTTGTAATTTTCTTCCTTTATGAAATGATCCATCAGTAAATTAAATGTATAGTTATCTGGAAAAATACCATATTGGACCTGTAATGAAAATAAAAGTAAGATAAGGGAAAAAATATTCATTTAATTCAGTTTATAATTTATGCCTATGTATTATTCAGGAAAAAACTTGGCACTGTTAGCTGTAAAATATCTGACTATCATTTTACAGCATCTGTGACGGTGAAATAGAAGCTGTGACTCATGCAGTTTGGTAACTGGAACTGTTGGTCAGGGTGAGAAAGTTGTGAGTGGGTGTCTGATATAAGACAACTGACGTCTGAAAAATAAAGCTCAATTCTAACACTTCATCATAACTAAAAAAAAACCCCAAACCAAACCAAGACAATAAAAAACCACCATACTCCACTGGTTCAGTGATTCTTTTCAGAAGGTATGAATATCAATGCCAAAATGGACTTCCATGAGAAAGCACACATTATCACATTATGCAGCATTTTCTGGCCCTTAGAGTGCTTTTTCTCCAACTTTATTAAGATATAGTTGTCATATAACATTGTGTAATTTTAAGGTGTACAACATGATAATTTAACACACATATATATTGCAAAATGATTACTACAATAAGGCTAGTTAACAAATTCACTGCCTCACATAATTACCATTTTTTTGGTGGTGGCAGTGGTGAGAACATTTAAGATCTATTTTCTTGGCAACTTTCAAGTATACAATACAGTACTGTTAACTACAGTCACTGCGCTGTACATTAGATCCTCAGAACTTACTCATCTTACAACTGAAGTTTGTATCCTTTGACCAACATCTCCCCATTTCTCCCGTCCTTCCAGTCCCTGGCATCCATTATTCTACACTGTTTCTATGAGTTCCGCTATTTTAGATTTCACATATAAGTGAGATCATGACATATTTGTCTTTCTTTGACTGACTTATTTTACTTAGCATAATGCCCTTAAGGTTTGTCCATGTAGTCTCAAATGGCAGGATCTCCTTTTTTACGGCTAACTACCCTCCCAGACCGGGGCACGAACCCATGTCCCCTGCATCGGCAGGCAGACTCTCAACCACTGTGCCACCAGGGAAGCCCTGTGTTCATATACACACACCCCACATCTTCTTTATCCATTCATCTGTAAATGGACATTTAGGTTGTTTCCATGGCTTGGCTATCGTGAATAGTGCTGCAATGAACATGGGGGTGCAGGTATCTCTTTGAGATAGTCATTTCATCTCCTTTGGATTTATACCCAGAAGTGGGATTGCTGGATCAAACTGTTGTTCTATTTTTAATTTCTTGAGGGACCTTCATACCGTTTCCCATACTGGCTGTACCAATTTACATTCCTGCCGACAATGCACAAGGGATCCCTTTTTGCCACATTCTTGTCAGCATCTGTTATCTCTTGTCTCTTAGACTAGTTTTTAAAGACCCAAGAAGCCTGAAGTTGCCATGGCTCCCATGTGATTTGCACGCACAATCAAGTCTGACTACTAATGGTCTAGGCTGTGGTCATGTGTCTGTTTTAAATCCTTACTTCAGTAGGCTCATCCCCCCCGCCCCCCGTCAACCACCAGAAACACCTGAGGAATTTTTTTTTTCCAATTATACCCATCCCCTTAGAAATTCTGATAACCCTAAACCCCAGTTGCAAATCACTGCTGAACTGAGTCACTATTACCAGCACACTGTGCAGAATGCCTCAGATGTGCCGAAATGGAAAAAAAGTTTAGAATCCATTGCTTTAAAGGTTGTAGCTCATGAGCAGTGTTGAAATTCATCAAAGCAGTCAACCAAATCTGCACTAATCCCTAAGGCAGTGTAAAAACAAAACATCTCAGAATGATAAATCATTAAAGCCAAAAGGAACCTTAGAAATCAACTGGTCAGTGATTCTCAACACTGACTGCAAATGAGAATCAGCTTGGGAGCTTTAAAAAGACACTAATGAGGTATGAAAAGGCAGAGCACAGAGGATTTTAAGGGCAGTGAAACTAGTCTGTATGATACTACAATGGTAGATACATGTCATTATACATTGTTTAAACCCATAGAATGTACAACATCAAGAGTGAACCCTAATGTAAACTACGGACTTTGGGTGATTATGTGTCAATGCAGGTTCATCAGTTGTAACAAATGGCTCACTCGGGAGGCTGTGCACGTGTGGGGACAGGGAACATGTGGGAAATCTCTGTACCTTCTGCTCAATTTTACTGTGAACCCAAAACTGCTCCAAAAAAATAAAATCTATTTTTTAAAAAAAACAATTAAAAAAATACCAATGCCTGGGCTCCAGAAAGATTAAATTAAATTAGAATCTTGGGGGTGGAGAAAAGCATCTAGAATTTTTAAAAGCTTCTTGTGTGATTCTAACGGGCAGCCAGGGTTGGAAATCACTGATTTAGTACAACTCACTTGACTTAAGAGTTGAAAAAACTAAGACCTAGAAGAGTAAAATTACTATTTGCCTGAAGTTATGAGCAATTGGTAGAATTTATGAGGTTATAGCTTGAGTCTTCTGACTCCTTGTCTGGTGTTCTTTCCACTAAAAGACTAGGAAGAGCAGAAAATGAGACAGACATTTTTTGTCTTTCCAGAACTTCCTGTTTTGTTTTCATAGGGATCTTCTTCTTTGAGTATGATCTGTGTCATTAAAGTCTGAACTGAAGAGCAAGATTTAATCCATTCCTTCCCCTGCAGCCTAATATTAGATTTATCAGTGAACCTGCTTATCTACTTTATTAAATTATAAGCTTTCTGAGGGAGAGGACAGGACATTGCTCCTTTTTTGGGACAATGCCATACCCAATACAACATCTCACACACAAACTATCTGAAATATATATTAAGTTAAATTAGGCCCAAGTCATGGGAACAAGAGCTCCCCAAACCAAAATTAGTATTTCTTTTTGAGGTCTGCCATAGAAGGTCCAGTGACACTACAGAAATAATACATTTCCACAGAAATACTGTTAAAGTCTTGTTAAGGGTCAGACTAGGACTGTAGCTTGAGACTCACAATAATAACATTCTAAACTTTTGCTTATTTTGTACTTATTTCATACTATGAAGGGAATGAAGACTCAACCCTTGGGTAGAGTATAACATGCAGAAAGACCCTAATCATAGGGGCTCTGGGGCTTGAGGGGAGGAGTCAGGGACTTAGGAAGACATGTTTTGAATAACCTAGGAAGTCTGTCTTCTTAAAAATGTGTAAGATGATCTGAATGCTCTGGAGATCACACTCCAGCAAAATGGTCAGGTCTTTTTCTCTAAATTTCACCAAATGGAACTAGGCAAAAAATCCAAGACTTAGGGATCAAGAATGAAATGACCACCAAAGTTCTTGTGATTAGATTACCTTTTGCTTTTACCACTCCGTTTTTAAGTCACTGTTCTTGGAACAGCCACAGCTACTGGAATGTTTATTTTTAATGTGTTGGTTAATTTATACCAGCTCCATTCTAAAAAGATTTTCTGAGGGCAAATAAATTTAAAAGTTACTTCTTGTACTATTCTCTGCTGTTCTGTAATGGTACAAACACCAAATCACCTAAACTCAGGAGAATAAGCTGCAAATGCCAGGAAACCACTCACCTTATTTACAAGGGTATATAAGGCTTTGTCTTGTGCACCGTATTTTAGACACTGCCTAATCCAGGTGTGGATAGTCCAATCTCTCAGGTACCAGCAGTTGGGGCTGTGTCGAAATCTAAATAAAGCATAAGAAGAGAGAAAACTGGGGTTAACTCTTAAATGTCAATGCCAAAATCCCTCTTCCATCAGCAGGTCCTGATGTGCAGTCAATGTGATCATAAAAGTCATAAAGACCAACAGTTGATAAAAGCTTGAGGGTAAAATTCATTCACTATAAAGTCTGAAATGGGAAAAAGAAGGCAAAATAATAATAAACAAAAAGAGTATAAAAATTTTGTTCCTTACTTATACCCCCAATTCAATATGTTAACATGAGATTTACAAAAATGATTTCAGGAATATGCTCTACTAACCATGGTGTTACATAAGTACACATTTCATTAGAAGACATGTGGAAGCTTATACTTTAGAAGTTTAAAATAAAACAGATGAAGCAAAAATGAAAACTAGGATAGCATAACAATTCTAGAGGAAAATCAGCTTTGAGTTATACTGCTATTTCTTGTGGTACTTAGGAGACATTAGGGCACTCTTCAGTGAACTGAAAGAAAATAAAAAGAAAAAAATTTTTTTGAGCAAAATTTAGCATTCAGGCCCTCCAGCATCCGTGATCACGCTTTCTCACAGCCCTATTCCAGTGCTTCGGTCTATCTCCTCTTGCTTCCTACTGTTCCCCACATGGTTTTAAAAGGCCTAAGCAGTCCAAGCTGAGGTGTAAAATAGTACCAGTATTCCCACAAAAGAATGGAACTTGGAAAGGAATTCAAATGCTGCTCTTGCCTTGAGTTGGCACACACTGGTTGGAGCGGCTTCTCCTTGCTCTTGGGGGTCTGTGCCACAGGGCTGAGTGAGAGGGGAGACCTCTCACTCAGGTGAGACGTGTGAGTGTGTGAGGAGGCATCTGTTTATCTGCTTTGATCGGGATGGTTCCTCAAACATCATCACGTGTCAGCTGAAGTCCCCACTTTGACCATTCAGGAAGCAAGTCAATCCCTGGACCCCACAAAATTCAAACAGTTTTCTTAAAAACAAAAGGCAAGACAAAAACATAAAGTGAAATAATTTTGTGCCATATTTGAGAATTGGGGCTAGAGGCTAATACTGGTGTTTTTCAAAGGCTGATTATTCAATCTGCCACCTGCTATTTCCTGCCATCTGGCATTGGGATAGTTTCCTGCTG